GAATCGTTGAATCAAGCACGCTGAGACCACTCGTCGAGAATAATCGAAGGTATGGCTATGCGACTGCGCGCTCGTACGCGGAAGTAGAATCATCGTCGTTAGTCGAATGTCGAGCCGCACGTTACGCACTACCCGTCGCCCGCTCCCTGTCCCCAGTCTAACAAGGCCCCCGCCAATGCCTTTTGGCACTATATATCCATGTAATCTGTCTCTCGGCATACTTTATACATGTTCATTATATGTATTTACGAAGACTGACTTTCTTATAAGAAAAATTAACGTTATTGAGCAGTTCCGCCCACTACTCATGATTTTTTGCAAAGCATGCGTCGAACGATCGAACTTTGATTATTCTTTAGATTATTCAAAAGTTGAATTACTTTAAGTAGTTAAATACTTCCAGTATTAGTCTATCTGCATTTTGTATTTTAACGATTGTATTGAAATCAAATCGAAGTATCAACTGATGTAAAAGCGAAAGCGAAGTAGCTAGCCACACCTTTATAATTAGTCCTTGGAACAATGATTTAGAGGTCGAAAATAAAATACAGCGTATTAAGGGCAAAACCAATGGCTTTGAATTCTTTGACGAAGGCTGATGACTCAGTTGAATGACACGAGATCGAACGTGATAGCATGATTAAAGAGCTGCACATCTGTCACTAATTAAATTTTATATGAAATAATTCTATCTAAACTTTAATTTTTATAATTTCTTCATTTTCTACCCTTTCCCTAACTATTGGCATTTGCCAAATGCATGTTCATTATTCAAATAATAATTCATGTATCTTACGCTACCTCGACAACTTTATAATTATCTGTATTTATAATAAATAATTATTGTTAGGTTATAATTATTATATAAAAGTTGCACATTTGAGATTATTGATACTTTATAATATAGCTATTTGGGATGTTAGTTGTTGCCTGAATGAATTAGTTTCATAATTAAAAAATGAAGGATATTATATCAAAGAACATGTCCACAAGCCATTTTGTTATTCTTGAGTTTTGCATACAATATTGTTTTTAATGATGTAACTTATTTGTTTAAGATAACAATATAATTTTTTTATTTGCATGGTCATCACAAGCACTTACAACCTCATCGATATCATTATCGTATAAACTACTTCTTCAAATCAATAGTTAGTATGAAAATAAAAACTAATGCAATCCAATCTTAATTAAGTTTTTGATAATTTTTTAAAATAGTTATTTTATTTCTCAGAACACAAGTTTTTATTCCATTCAAAATATTTATTGAATATTTAATAATGTACTTTCATCATCAGTAATGTTATCTATCGTGTAGTTAAAATTTTAATTAAACTATATAGCAATGTAAAATAAAAGAATATAATTTCGATCCAGTACAGCATTACTATGACAAATTTGACATGAACTAATAATAAATCTTTTTAATAATGGAAAACAATGTAGAAAAAGAATGAACAAATAACTGAAAATGTGAGCATAGAAGCCATAAGTAAGTATTATGAGATTTAGAAGTGTGCGAACCAGGAGCATGCAATGACCTTGTCTTTTTCTCTTTTCAAGTAATAAAACACGCGCCGAAAATGCCTCTAGGCCTATTTTTTTGATTGGGGCTAAAGACGCGTTAGTTTCCATAGTTACGAGCATTGACCTTTATGTAGAGCTCTTTATACTTCAAAGAGGGTCCCTATTCCAAAAATTACATCGACCAACTGATATTAACTAAATGATATTAAATTACCAATAATTATAAATACACATTAAAAATAAATGATTATATTTATGATTAATTTTAAGATACTAAAGTACATTATTGATTAAAATGAATTAAGGTATTTATATTCATTACCTTCACTCGAATTTTATTTTCCATATACAGATAGAGAACAGCTAGTGGGCCAAGTGCCTTCTGCATTCTATTTATAACATTTTTTTCAGAAAATCTTTGTTGTCTTTGATCGTTAACTGCCCTTGTTGATTCTGGAAATTGAAGCGAAATAATAAGAAATTAAAAATAATCCTTATTTTATTTCTTAATTATATTAATTCTTGTAGTTGCAAGAACGCTAAAAATAGTCCTAATGGTAATAGTAAGAGTAGCACTTGTAATATTAATATTATTACTATTAGTCTTCGTTTTATGACTTTCTTATCAAATCATATTTTTCTGCTTAGTTAAATTTTTATTTATTAATTCCGATTAATTACGTGTAATATTGAATATTAAATATTTAAAGAATCTAATACTGTAGGAAAATGATAATTAATTTATTTCTTGATTAATTACATTTTTCACAATTTTTTAAAAACAAAGTAATACATTTTTTTAACATATTAGATCAATTGTTTCACAAATGAGATATATAAAAAATTTATATATTAAGGGATAAAATATTTTCCATTGTTATAGATTTTCAAATTTGTTTTAGCTTATATACTTTAGCCCTTTGTATTATATAAAACATACAACCAATATCTATTTTAATTGATTTTTATTTATTTTAATTAATTCATCTTTACAGCAATAAATAGTTTTTGTACATTGTAAGGACTCAAATTTTTCAAAATCAATTTAATTATAATAGCCTGCAAAATTATCATTAGTAACAATACTTTTTAAATAATCGACATTGGATAATTAATTAATTACGTCTAAAGAAAAATACAATACTAGATCAATTAGTTAAGTATGTTTTGAATTCGTAAAAAAAATTAAATATAGAATCTATACATATAACCGTTAACATTGAATTAATTGGTAATACTATATTTATTAACATACACATATATATAGAATAATAATTGTGTACATAAATTAATACATATGTAATAAATTAAATAATATTTGTATGTGTATCTCGTGGTTGTGCAATAATAAAATTGAAATAATAACATTTTTCTTCAGATAAATATTATAAAAATATTTTTAAATCAATATTATTCTAACATGATTGCACAAGATACGAAGAAATACGGTTTAAAAATAAAAAAATTATATTTACTATTCAAATAATAATTTTAATTTAAAACAATTTTCAATTTGCTACTAACTGAAAAAATTATAAGTATTTAATTTTTTTAATAGTTATTTGAAGCTTTCTAATTTATTTCATTGAGAATTTAAAAACTATTTATAAAAACATTACCACGTATTGTTAATTATTACTTGTAAAATATATGTATTTAGATTTTGAATAGATTAAATATTTTTTAATTAAATCCCTTTACTAATGTGTGTGTGTGTGTGTGTGCGTGTGTGTGTGTGTGTGTTATCTGTGAAAACAAAATGAGGTGGAAGATTATTTTAATTTTTAATGCATTATAAATTAATAAATAAAATATATATCAATACGTAAATTTTATATTATTACTATCAATATATAGATATAACTATAAATATATAGATTTTTTAATCTATTAGCTAAATCAATTCTCTTATTAACTTGTATTTTTATTTTTAGAGATTTATGTTATTAGAGTTAATCAGTTCCGATTCTATTTTATAGATGTGAAAAATTTATAAGAAAGGATTTTTTCAAAAAGATAATTATTATTCCATTATATACAACTAAAATGCAACTTTAATATAATACAATTTTTTCAGAAACTTCTATTCATATGTTCGTGATTATTTACTTCATTATTTTGGTAAAAATAAAATATAAATATTATTGACATTAAACGAGTAACTTTGCAAAGAATTTTTAATAAAACTTTATATTCACCAATTATTCAATTTACATTTAAATATGTAAACTATAACTTTCTATTCATAAAAAATAATAAAAATATTGTAAATTAACTAATTTGAATTGATATGTGTATGTAAATACAAAATCACCTGGAAGGAATTATAAAGGAACATTTTATTTAAATATAAATTTCAATTTTTATATTACTTCTTGCTTAATACATATGCTTATACGCTCCAATGCGCATTTATTTAAATATTTATATCCTAATATTTAAATTCTAAGATTTAAAAATTGATAAATTTTTATAAAGATCTTTTAAATATGAAACATATTTATATTAAATTTTTCTACAAATACAGTTACATTATTGCTTCGGGATATAATATAAAATTGAAAATATGTTAAAACTATTGAATCTCTAGTATATGTGTATTATTATATTTATGATTTTTAAAACTGTTCGGTAAGAATAATTGATTTAATTATAATATTTATGTTTTTTCAATAGTTTTATTTTTTTATTGCTTTATTTATTCATTTATTAAAACATTTAAATAATTATAGTAGGTATTAAAAATATTCCTAGATCATCTAAGATTAATAGGTCTAATTTGTGCTCCTTAAAATGATAGTATAAGGTCGTTCGGTAATGTACACTCAATAGCGTACTGAAACTACTCTAAAGATAATGTTCATTCGCCATGCCGATTGGCTTTCACCATTTCGTAAACTTTCATCCACTAGTGGCATCAGTGGCGTTGTCAGCGGCGACGCCACAACTTCTTTCTTTCTACCTTTTCTAGTCGTTCTTTCCGGAGAACGATTCAGCGACTCTGGGCACTTTCACTATCGTTCAATACTTTCCTACTCCCTCCCCCTTCACTTTGACATATACTTTTCTCATCCGCATGTTTTCTTGAATTGACAACTTTATTTTACGCATATTTATACGGTGATAAAAAAAACAAATGATTATACAACTATCATGTATTTATCTAATGCCGTCATTTAATTAACTAAATTCAATTAAAAATACATATTCAGCTGAAAGAACGAAGTATCTATATAAATATTATATAGATTGCGTATTATAGACCAAATTATTAATCTGTTACACTTTCTGTATTCTAATTTTATCAAAATAATGAACAGCTAATTTATAATATATTTAAAATAATATGCATAGTCAAGTATTTTTTATATAAAAATCATTATTAATTTTTTTTTTAATTACTGAAATCTTTACAATGCTCTTTTAATTTATTACAACTTAATTATAATGTATAGCAATTCACTAAATATTTAATTTTTTTTAAATATCAGTTGCTAAACCGTACTTACTTGTAACGTATGTACTTGTGAAAATAAAAGAAAGTTGTTTATTATTATATAAAAATTAAATATATTACTCCTCCCTTTTTATGTTTGTAATTTATCAAACAAACATGATCAATTTATGTTAGTACGATAGGATTAGTCCGTAAGATACTTTTATAATTTTCACTTTCATTCTGTGATAATTATAATATCTGTTCACGTAGGTTGTATCAGGCGATAAGTCGTGTGAACTTACTCATATGTATTCCTTTATAAAGAAAAACCGTTAAGTTCGCGCTCTAGGAAAAGCTATCGAAATTTTAAAATAATGAAAAGACAATGAACATATTCTACTGAAGACAAAAACATGGAAAACCACTTTTTTTTAATGATCTTAGAATTCGGTTCTATGTTTCCAAATATAATTTATTTGATAAATTGTTGATATAAGTATTTAAATAAAAGAAACTTTAACTTATTTTAACTTAGTAATTTGAATAATTAAAAGAATTGTGAAGAGATATGCTTAAAACATATCAGAAATGAAATATACTTATTAAAAAACTGTTTTCAATTTCTTATTTCTTATCTTCATAATTTCGTTCTGTTACAGCCTGTTTATGAGAATGAAACATTTTTAATAAATAAAAATGTTTCTTTCTGTATATAATACTACGCATACTATGTTTCAAGCGATTTTACAACGCTTCGTATAAAATTTTTTGTTTCTACCGATCGAAAAAGTAAACAAATTAATGCTCCATTTGAATGTCTTATCTTAGTAGCCTTAAATTTGGCCTTCCTTCTTCACTAATTTTATATCAGCAATAAAAAAAAATAAATATTCTTACATATGGTAAAATGTATATCAGGGATTATTGTATAATCAACCCATATGTATCAGAGGAAATGAAGCTGCAAGGCTCCTTGATTTCAATGTGAGTGTCATTTTCGTAAAAGTGAAAATTTACTTGAGATCGTGAAAGCGTACCCGACTTGTAGATGATCCCCAGGTTGAGAATCGCGCTGGGTTCAACGTCCTGGCGGGCAGCGCACCCGAGCGAGCAAGCAAGCAAACGAGCACTTCTCCAGTGCATACATACTCTTGCTCTCTTGTTCACTCTCTCGCACTCCCTTTCTCTACGATACACTGTACGGCGCAAACTCTCCCTCGTTTTCTCGCTCATACACAAACACGCGCGCACACACTCTCGCACTCCCTCTCTCTATTCCTCTTGCCGCACAACAGCAGCGCAACGACTTGCTAATGTACAGTTAGTCCAGCGACTGGGGCCCTTTGGCCCTCCCACACAGCGGCATTGTCCTTCTATCGCTACGACGCAACGCGCTGTGATGCCTTAAGTCGAACAGGATAGGTACAAAATAGACATACGACAGACATACCATAGAGATACTACAAATTCAAATAAGTTTCGATATATAAAACCCCTGATATTACTACATAGGGCACTGAATACCATGCAATTTTATTTGCCTGGATTTGATTCTGTTATAATATTTCATTTATTGATTTTATTCATGAATTAATAATGACCTTTGATTAAATGAAAATTTAGTGCAAACGTTGATTTGACATTGATGCATTAAAACAAAATTAATTAATACAATAGGCAAAAGATCATAGGTTCCAGGTTATCAAATTTTTATTTCTATAAAAGAGAGACTGATTTTTATATATTAGTAAATGAAAGACAATAATTATATTGAATTCAAAGTTCAAAATTAAAATAAGTATTTTATTAAGAAAATAGTTAATATTAAAAAGAATAGAAATTCGTTTCTAAAAAAGACAAATAATTGATAGATAATCTACAGAATCTCCTTCCGTAAGATCTGTTTTTTATGAATTCAAACCTGATATTTTGTTTGTTTAGCTTGCAGAAACTGCAATTATTTTTACAAACAATTTGTTGATTAATTAAAGAAATTTATATCATATATCACATACATAATTACCGACATAATACGTGTATATTCGTTATTATTCATTATTCATAAAGTCAACACTATTTTTAATTGCATATTCTAATTACATTTTACAAAATATATATTTTTACTAATTTGAAAAAATTTAAACTATTACAAACGAGCGATACTCATATTTAATGGAATTCGAAGTGTTTAACATATTTTCATAATTTTTTTACTAACCCAAGTCTTCTTGAACATTAAATTACGAAAGTTGTCCGGAAATAAGAGTCATATGCTCAAACTTTTCCGCATTCCAAGTACCGCCAAGTTCGTTTAGCATTTTTTAAAACTATATGCATCATACAATAACAAATACTGACGAGCACGATAAATGAAATACGAAACTGTGACAAAAATAAAATAAACAAAATCACGATCAAACTCGCACGCCAAAAGAAAATATTTCTGTGAAAAGGCATTCCGTTAGTTTGAACTACTGTTTTGCATTTTCAAAGATCATAGCCCAAGTTTAAAGAAAACGAAAAAAATTTTTCTTTAATAAGCAAATACGATAGTCTCTGTCAATACATATATTTTCAGATTAATATGGCAAATTAATTCAATTAATTAAAAAGGACATTATATTAGTTAATGAAATAAACATATTACATAATACTATTATACATTAATACAATTATTATTATATCCGTACATCTGTATATATATATAAATTGAAAAAATTTTAAATAAAAGCTTTTAAATAATGTAGTATAATCTTTAAATATATACAATAAAAGTAATTATGATTTTTATATTACTATCAATACTCATTCTTTTCAAGTAAATTTTTACAATTTTGCGAATCAGAATATATTTTAATTATTTACAAGTCTAGATGTTATTTATAAGTAATAAAAATTTTCTATCGTTTTTTAGTGAATTAAAATTCATTCTTTAATATAACAGCATATAATCTTGGACAAATATTACTAAAAAATTTTGTAATTAATTTTCTCGTTAATGATTATATATATATATATATATATATATATATATATATATATATATATATTACTAAAAAATTTTGTAATTAATTTTCTCGTTAATGATTATATATATATATATATATATAATTTTCTTCTTTTTTTTTAGGAATATATCGTGTAATCAGGCTAACTAATTTGACTTCCAGTCCTTAATTATCAACATTATTTTCGCACAACTAAATAATGATTTAAAAAATCGTTTGTAATTTATAAAAGTAGTGTATCGCTACATTTTTCTGTAAATATAATAATACTCTTATTATAGCATATTTGCAATAATGTAACTTAGAGATATAATAACTAATTTATTATACGTGAAATATAAAGATTGATACATTAAAAGATTTCATTGGTTTTGGTACTTTTTTTGTTAAATCCAATAAATTCAATGAAAATCTTTGACAAAACAATTATCTATTCAGTTAAATCAATTATTTAATCCATGAAGATAAATGGGTTTACAAATTTATTTCTTGCCTTTCAAAATAATTTTTATTTAAGATTTTGAGTCGTTTATTATATATAAAACTTCGGATCACGGATAAAATAATATTTATACTTATATTATTAAATAATGTTATTATTATAGTATTCTTACTACAAACTCATATTTAAAATATTATATATGTATTTATAATGAATGTGGTTTAAAGTTATGAAATAGTGATAATTTTAATGCTGAAATTGATTAACACAAAATAATAAAAATAAATATAGAGTAATAAATAAGAAGCAAATAATAGATAAATAATTAAAATTAAATAATGTGCTGTCAATAAACATTTAGATAATTCGTATAATGCAGTAGCAATGTAAGTTAAAAAAAAAAAAAATAATAATAATAATAAAACAAAGAAAGACAGAAAAACGAAAAGCTTTAAATGGGGTGCAACAGAAATTGTACATACATATATGTATAAAGGCACTTGTTGCGTTCGGGCGTCGACCCGAAGGCAGTAAGTCACGGATATTTCTATTCTAAAGAATCTATATCATGCTTCCATTTAACTAATATAGCATTTATTAGAGAACTTGATGTTAAAGGTCTTTCAATTTCATGTCAACGTTCTCTGAGAGTCGATTGCGAACGTAAAATTCTAAATTGATTAATTTTGTAAAAGACAAAAACAGGAATAAAAATATCATGACTTTAAATTTTGTTAAACTAATTAAACGGTGCGAAGCTCCTAAGAAATACATATGTCTTGATCGTTAGTATTGAATTTAAAAGAGTCGTACTGGAAACTCGCCTCCGAGATCCGAGGTCGACGCCCGGGCGTATAGCTTACAACCTGCAACAAGTGCTGCTCTCGGTTAGCAGCTACATATGCTTGCCATCTCGCCTAACTTAGCTGCACGTTACTACAAAACTGCACTGGGTCAGGGATCCGTGATTTATTTGCGCTTACTAGTTGGCCCGCGTCCAACAATTGCTGTCGTCAGATACAAACTGACACCGTACGATCTGAGATCCACCTATAGCCTTTACCCTTTTGATATCCCATCATATAATTTTGCAGCACAAATGTATTTCCTTTGCTTTTCAACTTAATTTTTTTATTGCTTTTTATTTTCTTTTTTATTATTATGAAAATGTAATTTATCCAATTCGTACACTTAATTTATAACATTATTTCATGCTTATCTGTTTAATTTTCTGAATCGATTCACATTAAAAAATCACGAGATTATGAATACATTATTTCTTAAACAGTTGAATAGAAACAAAATATTAGAATAAATATGGGTGTAACTTATTTAACTTATTTAACTTATTTGTAACTTATCAAAGAATGAAAATACCGTATAGTCTCAAATGATAACGAATGCGCACTAAGCAAATAATGTATATTATACATTTCTATAAAAATTAAAAAAATTGTTAATATTAATTATCAATTACACATTCAATTAATTTTGTTCTTAATAAATAAATTTAATAAATAGTTAATCATTACTTACGCCTTATAAAGGGGCAAACGAAAATAAAAATAATGCGATTCGAATAAATGTTGCAAAGCTGTAAGGGCAATGATCTTGTGTGCCTTAGGACATAGATAATCAAATGACTAAAACATCCGAACATTATAAAATATATATAACAAAATATAAAATCTTACATGATACATCTGATGAAATCTGTACCTAATAGACCAATAGTTGTTAAATTTTAATATTGCAATAGTATTTCTTATACAATTATTATAGAAACGTAAAAATCTCGTATTCTCGACTTTTTATTACTAAATTATTTAAAAAAAATGTGAATATGATTCTTGTATATAAATTCATTCGAGTATATATAATGGAAATTTTTGTCTCGGATTAACATTTGTACCAGATTTTAGATAAAACAAAAATGATTAAATTTGATATAATGGAATAACTGGTAAACAATTTTTCAAATAAATTGCATTGAAATGATAAAAATTTCAAGTATAATGTAAGATAAATATGGATTAAAATTGTATTATTTAATTATTAATTATGTATTCATATAAAATATACTCTAAGTAACATAAATGAACTTTGAATTTGACAATCATTGTCAAATAAGTATGTGATCTGCTCATTATTCTCCATGTAACTTAAATTCGAATCTATTACCACATAAATAAGCTTATAACATAATCAATTTCAAATATTAATTATAATTCATATTGTATTATAAATATTTTATTATATGATTATTAATAATATTGTAATCATATATATATATATATTTGTTAAAATATTTTTTAACCGTTTTTAAAGAATTTTAAGGAAATTTATATTATAAAAATTTATTTATCAAGTAACTTTAATTTAGAATAAGGTGCAACTTAATTTTACTTATTAAATATAAAGAATTTTAAAAGTAATCGAAAACATTATACAAGTTTTGTTTGGAGTGCAAATGATGTAAAATATTGATAATAGATTTCGCTATAATTCACGAAGAGTTATAAATGGCAAATTGAAATTATTAAAATATATTTCTACACATTAAAGGGTGTTAACTACTAGCTCCATCTTTCGGTAAAATTATATAATGAAGGTCGGTCTAATAACAGAATAAGTGAACAAACGATTCTTCGATGCTGTGTAAAACCCATAACCTCACTTATTAAACATGATAAGCCACGTGTTTTACCTTGATGTGGCAAAAACCTTCGAACAGAGCTTTCCCCTTCCTTCTTTAGCCGCGCTCTGCTGTCACTTGCCTGAAATAATAATATTAAAAAAATGGAGCAAGAAAAAAGAATAAGCGTGTAATTATATATATATATATATATATATATATATATATATACATATATGCTTTTAATCATTAAATTGAAATAAAAATATTTGACAAATAAATTATGAAACTAATAAAAAATGAGTACACGTTTTTTGTTTGAATAAATATATTAGACATTTGATAAATGAATATATTTTTATAATTCGCACACCTTTATTATACACCCCTTGAGTACAACGGACTCAAATTTACTGATATTGTCGAAGATGGGAGCATCGGGAACCGGAACATTAACTTTATCCGAATATAAAGCCTTGAAAGAATCAAATTTTTCACTGAATACGTCCGTACTGTCACCAGAATCACTGTCTGCTTCTTCAGCCATTTTGACACTAAAAATTTAAATATTTGAAATTCCACATACTCCAGTACCATGAAATATATAATTTGTAGAAGGAATATTCTACGTACAAACTTGCACTTATTTTTACATTTTATCACATTTAAAGATAAATTAATCTCTATCCGATTAAAGTAAAAAGTGAAAATTATGGACATGTTAATTTTTAAAATAAAAACAAATAAAAATATTTTATTTAATTCATTTCGACTTATCCAGCTTTTCATTTATTTTCATTTATAATCAAATTAAAAATACTTAACGATTTTTAATCAAATTATCATACTTTTTAAATTTTATTCAATAACCTTTTTTAGTTGTAACTGCAATATCACATTTTCGTTTAAAAGAAAACGTAACTTGATCGGACATTTAATTCTTTAACTATTTCTAAAAATATTGCGATCTAAGTTTATATTTTTTAATTTATAAAAATTTAATTTATATGTGTAATAATTATTTGATAATCTTAATTTCTTGGTACATAATAAGTTCGTTTCTAACTTATTTTATATAAATTTTATAAAGTAAATGGATTCATTTTTTTTACGTGTATATATTAATAATTGGCGAGTGAGACAAGATATATCAAATATATATATATATATTGTAGAATTATTATACATATAAATTTAATTAATATAATTGTATAGGTGTGAGTTGTATAGGTAATTTTAATTAAAATTATTATTAAACAAATAATAAGATATATTTAGAAGGGAACATTGATTTATTGTATAAAATACATATTGCACTTAAAATTACATATTTTATTCATCAAATGAGATACAAATTTTATTATATATAAAAGTTTTTAAATATGCAATCATAGATAAGTAGGACACTAAGGAAATAACTAATTGTTTTGATAAATTTAGAAATTAGAAATTTTTTACATTAATAACAAAATACCACTACTTTTTATTATAATATTTGTATTACTGATAAAAATATTGCATAAAATAATCCTTGTAGTAATGTAAAATTATTAATTAATGTTAATATTAAATATATTAGTACTAAATTTATTATATTTTATTAAACCTGAAACTTGATTTTATATGTACTGTAAATATAATTTTTTTGCGAAGAGTATTTTTACAAAATACAATATCCACTTAAATATTTTGAAATAATTAATGAAAATATTTTATCAAAAATTTTCATTCATCTATCCATCCAGTTGAATTGTTAAAAAGATAAAATGGTATGTTAAATAATATAATTCTACAATTAATGACATTTAAAATAAAATAGATAAATAAATTATCATAATCAAGAGGACATTAAACTTTTTATAGATGCTTGGCTAGAAAACTTTCTTTCTCCGCTCGACGCTACAAGTCCGATTACGTAAAAGAACTAGCAGTTAGTACCTTGCAGTTACTAACAACCAAGTTGCATTTATGATACAAATTTTTATGCTTGTATGTGCGTGCAACCGAGTACACAGGTATCTATATGGAAATACTCTATACAGAATAGAATGCAAGAGAACGGCTTATATACAAGTGAAACAAGCTGCGGTAGAAAGAAAGTTTTCACTCGATCACGCACTTCGTCTTATTTTCACTTTCATGTAAATTCTTCGAGACTATTCAACCTGTTCTATTGCAATACCAACTATGCTAATTAATAATTATTTATCTCATATTTCTTTAAAATATTGCAGTACTTTGGGTGCTTTTAAGCTGGAAGGGGATAATAAACGACGCTGGCTCAGAGGTGGTTTTGGATGTTAGAAGGCGTGCGTGTGGCTAAAACAGCCCCGCCGCAGGTTACGGGTCCCGATGCCGGTCCCCATATCGCAGACGCTTACACTGACCTCGACCCTCGTGCCCAAAGAGGAGTCAAACATGCCCTTCATAGACGACGAATTGCTGTGGTGTCCTGATAATGATGGCAAAATGGTTGATCTTACTCAGTGCCTTCAGGTTAGTAAGTTCCATTCACCTAATTGTTATTCTATTTCAAATCATCGTTCATTAAATACTCTAAACTACTTTTTTATTTGAAATACGTATGTTCTCAAAGATATATAATTCAATTCCAAATGAAATAATAAAGAAACAAATAAACATCGGCAAATATATTTTAAATAATAAAAGATTGATCATTCTTATACTTTTCCTTAAAATGGGCTTTATTTATATAAAACAGGATTATTTATAAATATTTTATATTTCCTCATATCATTTTATAAATAACAACTTATAAACTATTAAATAATTGTATTAACTACTTAACAATATAAAAATACACGAATTTCTAAAATTCATATTTTAAGCACATAAGATTATTTTCCAATATAATTAACATATTTGAAATATTTTTTTTTAATAAAACAAAAATTTTTTTTTTCATAATAATTTGAACATTTAATTTAATTCTGATACAGAATAAATATCAAACTCTATTTATATTGAATATAAAAAATTATATTTATTGTAATATTTATTGTATAATTCATTATATTTTTTGGAGATTCAAAATAAATTGAACTTTTCACGTTCGTAAACTATATCAAGACATATTTCAGAAATCTTAGAAATTAGTTAACCTTTTTTTTTAAAAAAAAAAAGGGGTGTGAATAAATATATATATAATTTATGGATAGATCAAAATTGAACAAGCTAGATAGACGTATGTATATCAGACATTAATAAAGATTAAACAAATTTTTAAGAAATGATATAAGATTACAATTTTTTTATTTATAAAAATGCATATGATAGTAATAAATAATACATGTACATTATTTAGAAAACAATTTTTGTTTAAAAGCTATTTGATTATTTTTTATTTTTTATAAATCTAAATAATGACATTTATAACGTATTTAATTTAATACACAACAATTGTTCAAAAAATAAAATATAGAAAAAAAATCTGAAGGAGAATAATGATGCATAAAGGCTTAGAATATATTTTATTCAATAGAACAAAAGTTAAGATATAAATAAATGTAACAAATATATAAAATTGTATGTATTTATAGGAAAGCAGTACTGGACAGTCAGTGGAATTTTCAACGATAGAGTTAAATGCATTAGTTGGTGCTCCTGGGGTACCAAATATTCCAAACGAAAATTCTGAATCTTTGCCCACCGTCAATACAATGAGCAGCGTAAATGCCGTAAACGGTACTCATAGCAGTAACGGCGCCGAAGAACCTTTTGATACTCTCGATACTTTTTTAAGAGAACTTCAAGCGGACTTGGTTGAAGCCAGTCAACCAACTTCCACAACTGCATCGTCAATTAATTGTTGTAAACGGCAGAGGTACAATATCGCTGCAGCGAATCCTCTACTCGCAGGTATAAATTATAAGCACATTATTCTCTATTTACTACAAATTTACTAGCAAACTGTCATTGAATTAAAAAAATTTCAAGCAAATGGCCGTTTAATACTTCTTTTGAGCATGTATGTCGTATTAATTATTAAGGCTAATATATTGGATTTTTATATTTATAAAATAATAATTTATTTTTTAACGTTAGTTGAACAACAAACTTTTCAAAGCAAATTAATGTAAAAAATTATTGTATTTATGTTCTGTTTAAATTTTACTGATGAGTATAGAATTTGCTTCAATATAAATGATCTTGATGATGCTTAATTCAATTTTTGAAATTCTGCAATATTATATTATAATTAAAAAATTAAATACAATTACTTTTTAAAATACCTTCTTATGTATCATGTTATAACATAATAATTGTAATTGTTGAATATTGGATTTAGTGAATTTTATTGTATATTATTACAATTAAATATATTAAATTTGTTTTTATGGTATTAGTCTCGGATTCAAATTAACTTATTGAACTATTAAACTATTGATTTTTGAAGTAGAATAGAAAATTTTTTATTTGTAATATTAAATTTACAATAATTATATTGTAAATTGATTGAATTTATATTTAGTATCAATTTAAAATTATGTATATAATAAACGAACTAAATTCAAGCATACTCATTAAAATAATACTTCGATACAAAAAAATAAAAATTTCTAAATAAGGTTATGCAATAATTTAATAAATATTTCATCCTAAATTAATAAAAAAAATATGAATATATTTCAATAGAACAAGCAATTTATTTATTGATACCGTTCAATTTTGATAAATATGAAATCAAAACAAGTAACGTTAATTGAATACTTACACATTTTTATTAGATAAACTTATATGATTTATTTCTTTTTTATATAGAAAAATTAGCAAGTCCTTCAACGCAGACATCATCAACATTAATTCCTTACGCATCGAGAGCAGAAATCAAAACAGAGAACATTCAGCCAGAACCAAGTAAAGGTATGATTTAAAAAAATTTACAAGCAAATAAGAATTATTGTACAGTATTTTCCTAATGTTGAGTTCCTTGTATTTTTTAATTTCTGTTGATAATGTAGATTATACTTACTGTCGATAAAACAAATATCTACATTATTTGTAGTCGATAATAAAGAATCCGTCTAATACGATATAAGAAATAGAAGAAATAAGTGAAAAGCAATTCTAATGTGTAACGTTAGATAGCGCAATAATCGCCGTTTTTTATTTTTAGTAAATAATATTTAAATGCAACGTGAAAATGGAAACCGGCCAAGGTCCTATGTTCGTCAAGAATTAATGACGATTATGTATCTGTATTTCAGTTATATGACTGTCAGTACGAAGCTCATCATTTTTGTATTAAGAAAAAAGTTCTATGAAATACTGGCCCATTCATACAATTTTTAGCGATACTATAAGTGATCTGTGATATTATTGGAAGTGAAATACGTTTAAAAGTATTCTTTAATTTTTCCTTATTTTACAATACATAGACAATGACCTTTTCTAGGTCAATCGCTCATGTCTTTTAATTAAATTTTGCTCACATTGTCCAGGACATGACGTACAATGACCACTGGTATGAGAAATTGCTCAATTTGCAAACCTTGCATTTTCTGCAGGAAATACCAGTGTCTCACTTTTCTATACGAAGCATAGTCTTTTCTTAAGTAAGCATTTATGCATATTTGAGAATGTTAAATATATTATTTACAATTGATGTGTTTATAACCTAAAATTTATAAACGTATTCTATATGATAAATTTATAACTTCAATAAATTAGAATCCGTTTAAATATTTTATATAAAATTCCAATAAATGAAAATTTGTTATTGGTGTTTAATAATTAAAATACATTGTATTTATGATATTGCATATCATTACAAATATGAACAAAAATAACTAGATATTTGAACTAAGTATTGTTGCTAGTACAGTATACAAATATTTTAATTCTTTTGTTGAATTGCAATCTGTAATTGATAAAGTACTTTCAAATTTAATAATCTAAACAAACTGTAAAACTTGTTACTAATGCTCTTTCCATAAATTTTAGAAAATCTTGTCTTTAAAAGAAATTTAAACATATTTAATAAATATGATGTTACATAAAGATATTTTTAAAATATTTAAAACTAGTATTAATTAATTTCAAATGGATAGACAAAATAATATTTTATTATTAGCTTCTTAAGGTGAAATTTTTGTTTATATTTAAAACATTATTTTAAATAAAGACTAAAATATTAAACAAAAAAATAGTTATAAATTCAATGTCGATTATATTTAAATATTGAGTACATAATTTTGAAATAAGTCTTATTGTATTTTTTATGATTTATAGGATATTTACTTTCAATTTTACAATAATTCATTTTGATATAAGTAGCGATTTCGCATATGATTACTGTTATCTTCAAGTTTCTTTTGTATTCTGATTTATAAAATACTTTTCAATATTTTGAAGGAATAATGAAAATTTAAAATAAAATTAATGTCGATATCTCAATTAAATAAAAATAAATAATGTAAAAAGATACAAGAATGAAGCTAAAAATTAAACAGAAAATTGAGGTATATTAACAGTTATGATTAAGTTAATATTTACATAATAATTTGTAATTTTATCCTCTAATTCATTTTCAGAGTATATTCTTCTTTGATTTTAAATAATAGATTCATTATATTATTTGGTACTTCTAAACTCTCAAATGACAAATATAAAGCAGCAGTAAGTAATTTACTTATGAATATGTTGTAGATTTGTTCACAAGGATCATTTTATTTTTATATTGTGCTTATAAAAAATTCTAGTTTATTTCACATTATTATATAATATAGACCTATAGACCTAAAAGTATTATCAAGTATGTCAATTATACTATTTATATCATAAAATTTTACAGTATTACATTAAAAAGAAAATGCTAAAATATAGACATTAGATAGATATATGATTGATGAAAATTTGAAATGTTGAGGCTACTACTTATTGATTCATTCACATTCTTATTTTTTATTTTATGTTTTTTTCATAATTAATTAAAAAAGAAACTTATTCTTTAAGCTTTGCCTAGATCGTTACGTTTATTTTTTTCTTTTCGTTATTTCACCTTTAATGTTTAATCTTAAATTCATTTTTATCCTCTACACTGTTAATATATACGAATAAATATCATAAAAGATATTTTTAATAGAATAGTCATTATTTCTATGGTATATTTAAATTTCTTAAAACAGATGTGGATATAATTGTATTAGAATATCGGTACAAGAGTGTCCAATATGAAATATGTAAATTAAATTAATGTCAGTATACATTTCTATCATGATTCTAAAAGTATATTGATATTATTATCATTTTGATTTCTATTATGTGAGCGCAATTTTGAGAAAAATATACATTATATTTTTTATGATTTATAGGATATTAAATTTTGTATTTATTTTTCAATAAATGAATGCAGATGCCAAATGATAATATATAATTAAAATCAAATACAATTTAATTTATTATATAATTTTTTTATTATTTTGCATGATTATTCATCTGATTTATAGTTTTTTTTTTTTTTGGTTTAATAATAATATTAAACGTAATTTCATTTAAATATCTTAACTTGCTATCATTATTGAATATGAAAAAAATATATTTATTGTAGTATAAACAAATTTGTCTATTTTCATAATTCATTTGTAAACATTACTCCACAACAAATTATTAAAATATATTTGAAAAAGACACGTAAAAGAATTATAATAAAGATGTATCTAAATCTAAAAAATATCTAATATTGTTATAGTACAGTATGAGAAAATAAACTTAGTAATTGTGCATGTTTTATTCGTAGAATTGAATGTGTGTACAAATGAAATGGTATATTACGACTCGATAAATAGTAATGCAACCCTTATCCAAAATTTCCATTGTAATATTAATGTTGATTTCTGAAAGTGACAAATATTATAGATGATATTATTAAAAGATTGTGTTTAATATACAAAAAAGAGATCTTTATAAGACAAAAGCAGTTTATAATAGTCTTATACATGAATTTAGCTGATAAAACTTTTTACCAAAATTTTTACAATTTTCTTGATTATATCTCTTTCCGATCTTTTTTTATTATTCTCTTTTAGAGTTTCTTAGGCATGTAATATATTTAATACCATTTCGTATAGTTATTAGTTTAAAATAAAATCTCAAATAGTTATTTCTTTATTATTTAAAAGCTATTAACATATATTTCACCTTTTTCTTTCATAAAATATTCGGATACATTTTGCAATAATGTTTTTATTTTTAAAGGCTTTATCGATGATTCTTTCTAAATCAGCTAAATCACCTAAGTCGACTAAATCAGCTTACTACATTTTATAGACATTTCCGACAAAATGCTTTGACTTCATGTTACGAAGTTGACTTGTTACATACGAATTTTAATTTAAACTCAAATATTAAGCAATCGACCCTTTCATAAGAAAAAAGTTTAGATAGATGATTGTTTATATTAATAAGTATCAATACAATTTCATTTGTATAATAATAAAGATACCTCCTACCATTTTCATGATGATCAAATACTCATTAAATAACTGTGCATTATAGAATTGAATTTGAATTATACTATATTACAATTGCATTATATTATTCTTAAAATATGCATAAATTTCTGGATACTAAAGTTAGACTAATCGATTAAACCTGACAAAAACAAACAAATGATTTGAAGTAACAAAAAATTATAATTTTTTTATTTGTTTTTTTTTTATTGAAAGTCAAAAAATATAAATATATTTATTTATAATTAATACTAGTTATTCAAAATAAAAATGGTAAAATTTAAAAATCTATATATTTATAAAAAACATGAAAATTTAACATAAATTTCTTTTGTCCATATATTTTTGATATGTATAATGACAAGTTTATAAATAAATTTGTAATCATCCAATTTATTAAATCATAACACTTTTAGTTTTTGTTTAGTTAAAAAAATTATATTTATAATAATTTCAATTAGTTCTATTCGATTACTTCTTTGTATTTAATTTAGTATACGTGCGTTAATATAACACTCACACCTATTAATTCAATTGATTTAGAAAAAAATTTATTATTTTTGAAATTCTTCAAATTATAAATATTTATTGATTATAAATTTCAAATTGAACAAATATAACTTAACATTTAGCATTATTATCTTTAATTCGTTTATTTGAAACTATCGTGATCCGTATTACTTGGCACAGATAAACAGAATCAGTTTTATAGATACAAAGATTTCGAAGATTAATATTTAAATTTTTTTAGCAGCAATCTTAAATAATATATATTTTTGTATACTTTATCCAGATTAACCTTAACTATTCATATTAAAAATAAAATAATTTTCAACGTTTAAAGTGTGCAATAATGCTAAGTCATTCTTTCCAGAATTTATTCATTCGGATTTAAGTGGAACTACAGCAAGTGCATAGATTATAAGGGTTTTTTTTTCACTTAGTGTGGAAAAAAATTGAAGTGTTAATATTTTATAGAGTCAGGTTAATATTTATAAGGAATATTATGAATTAATTTAATATATATTAAAATATAGTCAGATATTGGTTCTCACTCATAATTTTTGTTTATGTTTAATAGAATGAATTTTTAAATGCTCCCTTTTTTTTATAACAAATTGTTTTCACTTGTTTTAAAAAACATTAAAACATATATTTGTAAATTATATATTATTAAAATATTTAATTATTCTCAATTTTTTATATTCTACCATTATTAATTACAAGATAAGCTACTACAGTCTTATAAACAAATAAAAAACTATCACTAAAAAATGAAAACTAAAATTATTATTTTAATTTACTCTATTTAGCTAATTTACTCCGTCGGTGGTAATAGAGTAATAATTTGATACATCCCGCCGTCTGTCTCAAATTCCTGCAATTAACTTAATTTAATTTATTATAATCCTT